TCCAGCCACTGAGTTAGAAATATGTAGTTTACATATTGCTAAGCTCGATTCTCTGCAAATTCGCGGAGGCACACTGCTGAGAAGTCCTGATCTGTGACGAAACTGCTGCTTATTGTTTCCAGGTTCGTAATGATAATATGACTGATTTCATTGACTTACAAATACTACCCTATTATTATTATATTATTATTAGTCCCTTGGGTTCCTAGTGGAACATAGGGCTTCAGTAGCACGTCTCCATTTCATCCTGTTCTCTGAGATCTTTTGAACCTGGTTCCACGACAGCCCACAAGCTCTCATTTCCTCCTCGCACGACCTCCTCCATGTCACCCTCATCTCGGACGTCCAACTCGTCGCTTCCCATCGGGGTTCCACTCGAGCAACTGGCCTGACGCGTGATGTCCCCAGTCGGCCTTCTCAGTGCGTGGCCAATCCATCTCCACTTCTTCCTGCATATTTGTTGCGTGATAGGTTCTTGGTTGGTTCGTTCCCAGAGTTCCTTGTTGCTTATTTTTTCTGGCTATCTGATCTTCAGCAGAGAGCGTAAGCAGTTGTTGATGAATGTCTGTAGTTTATTGGAAATGCCTTTCGTGACGCGCCAAGTCTCTGAGCCATACAGGAGCACTGACTTGACGTTGGTGTTGAAAATCCGTATCTTGTTCCGCATGCTGAGTGCAGAAGATCTCCACATTGGTTTCAGGCTAATGAACGCCTGTCTTGCTTTTCCGATTCTGACTTTGACGTCCTCGTCCGTCCCGCCACCTGTAGTTGAAACAGTGCTTCCTAGATAAGTGAAGGAGGTTACTTCCTTCAAGTTTCTCCCGTTGACGGTGATTGGAGTTTGTTGTTGTTGTTGATGGTGGTGGTGCGGTATCTTCATCACTTCTGTCTTCTCTATATTCACCTGAAGTCCCGTCTTAGCTGCCTCTTCTGTCAACTTGTTAGTTTTTGCTTGCAGATCTTCAAGTTTGTGTGACATTAGGCATAAGTCATCGGCGAAATCCAAGTCTTCTAGGTTCTTTTCCGTCGTCCAGTGTATCCCCCTCTTCTCGCTGCCTACTGTTTGCTGCATGATCCAGTCGACCACAATCAGGAATATCATGGGGGATAGTAGGCAACCTTGTTTCACTCCTGTCTTCACTTCAAAAGCATCACTGGGCTTCCCATTGTGGATTACTTGGCATGTGGCATCTTCATATAGTTGTTGAATGAGGCGGAAAAAGGTTTGCGGTACTCCGTAGTATTGAAGCAGTTTCCAAATTACTTCTCGGTCGACGCTGTCAAAGGCCTTCTCAAAGTCGATGAAGTTGAGGTAGAGAGCTGATTGCCATTCTATGCTCTGTTCTATGATGATGCGTAGAGTGGCGTTGCAATTTGGTCTGCACATGATTTGTACTTCCTGAAGCCTGCCTGTTCCGGTCGTAGTTTTGAATCTAGTGCATCTTTAAGCCTCTCCAGGATGATGCGGCTTAATATTTTACTTGGGGTGGACAGGAGAGTGATTCCGCGCCAGTTCTTGCAAGCACTCAGGTCTCCCTTCTTCGGCAGTTTGACAAGGTAACCCTTCTTCCAATCACTAGCCAGGTACCTTCTCTTCCTTCCACACCTTCTGCAATAGTGGTGGTGTGAGCATGTCCGCTGTTGTCTCTGCATCTGTTCTCAGTGCTTCTGGCGGTATTCCATCTGGTCCTGCTGCTTTCCCACATTTCAGTAGCTTTATGGCGTTCAGAACTTCCATTTTCGTTGGGGGATTAATGTTCACTTGTAGTTCGGAGGCTGCAGGTGGTATTTCTGGACGAAGTGCAGGTGGTGGTCGATTCAAGAGCTCCTTGAAGTGGTCGGCCCATCGTTTCCTCTGTTTCTCTTCTTTTGTAATTAAATTTCCATCATCATCTTTTATTGGTTTCATCTGTGTTGGTCTCTTCCCTGATAGCAACCTGGTTATTTGATACAATGTCGTCAGGTCTCTCTTACCAGCCGGCAGCCTGTTCTGCTTCACTTGCCAGTGTTTCGTAGAAGTGTCTTTTGTCTTTGCGTGCACTCTTATTCACTTCTTTGTCCAGTGCTTTATACATTGTGCTCAGTTCCTCTTGTCGTTGAGCATCCTTGCACTGGTTTATCTTCTGCTTCACCATCCTCCTCTCCTGCTCTATCAGCTTCCAGGTATCCGTCAAGATCCATTCCTTGTCTTCTTTCTTCTTCCTTCCTAATACTGTGGTGCAGGTTTCTTTCCACATAGCTTTCAAAGACTTCCAGTGTTCTTCCACACAGGTTTCTTCAGGGATGTCCCTCGATGTCTCCCATTTTGTCTTGATGGCTGCCTTGAAGATCTCCTTTGTAGTTTCATCCTTCAGTTTCCGAGTGTTGTACTTGAATTGAGGTCTATCACCAGCTTCCTTGTAGGCTTTTAACCTGATTTGGAAGGTTCCTTGCAGTAGATAGTGAGTGGTGTGAACCTACATCTGCTCCTCTTCTTGACCTTGTGTTAAGTAGACTGTGTCTCCATTTTCTTGAGATTGAGATAAAGTCGATTTGATTTTTGGTGTGTCCATCTGGTGAAATCCATGTCGCTTTGTGGATATCTTTGTGCCTGAACACACTGCCTCCAATCACCAAATCGTTGAATGCGCAGAATTCTGCAAACAATTCTCCATTCTCATTCATTTCACCTAGCGCCTCTCGACCCATGGTTAGTTCTCTTCCCGTGTTGTCCCCTCCCAGTTTGGCATTCATGTCGCCCATCAGAATTTTAATATCGCCAACTGACGTCTTGTCCAGTGTTGATTGAAGTTGTCTGTAGAAATCCTCCTTTTTCTCCTGCTCTGCATTATTTGTAGGTGCATAACATTGTATGATTGTGACCTTTCTTCCTTTTGAGTTGAATCTTGCTGTCATGATCCTGGAGGAGATTGGTTCCCACTGCATGAGAGCCTTCGATGCTCTTGAGGACATCATGATAGCCACTCCATAACTCAGTGTGCTCGTGGTTGTCGTCTGGGTGACCGGAGTAGATTATTGATTCTCCAGTTGACAGTTTGGAGAGTCCACTCCCATTCCATCTGCTTTTGCAAATTCCAAGCACTTCGATGTTATACCTTATCATCTCCTTTGCAATCTGGGCTGCCTTACTGGGTTCAAACATCGTGCGGACATTCCATGTCCCCACGTTTACTTTCGCTTTCATCGAGAGAAGACACATCGGCCAATTGGCTTCCCGAAGGCAGGCTTTCACCAACTGGCGTCATTTCGCCTCTCCGATTCCAGCGGGGAATAAGTTTGTTTTCATTTTTTATATTTTGTTTGTGCTTTGAAGTTTCTTTAGCGGTTAGATTTGTTTTACGGGGTAGGGTTGCTAGCCCTATGCCCAACCTTCCCTCTTTATTGGGGCGTAGGACCGGCTAGTAACTAGTAAACTAGTTAACCAGGCGAGGTTACAAATACTACCCTAAAGTCAGTCAATCCCGGAAAACCACTAGCTAAAATATTCATGTAGCATGATTCAAATGAAATATTCTACATTGTGAACAATTTTCATCCCAACTTTATTTTTAGCTTAAAATTAATCTTTTCTATAGATTTATTCATTAATGGTTCATCAACTGAACTTATATAACGTTTACACTGTCTATGAGTGTATTGATTGGCTATTTTTGTTGTTCGCTGGCGAGAGACCACATTTGAGTTGTGCGGTCCTACGTGGTTCACGTGGTGACCATAATAGCTGGTTTTTATTGTTTATGACTCAAGTCTCTACTGTCGCCGGTTAGGATATCTTTGAGGACATTAGTTGCAACAAAATTTCGGATATGATTAGCTGATAAGTGCCAGCAAGTAAACAGCCTAAATCTTAGGCTTCCTGCTGGTAAAATCTAACCCTATAATGACAGACAGTGACCATCTTACCAACTAAACAATCGAAGTAATGCCTGCTGCATCATGTTACAAAAGTAAATACGGAAACCTTTCCGTTCACAATCATATACCTTTTTAACAGGGAAGTAATCTTAAGATGATAGTGAGTGTTTGTAACTCGGCAGAATTATTTAGGTGTTACCTCTCTTAGATTGGATGACTGACTTGCGAATATGAACATTCCTGTGTACATTATTCATCAATCAACAGGTCCATTGACACAGACCTACTTTATCGGTAAAGATGAAATACAAGGAGGAAGTCAAGCCAGCAAGCAGCTGACGCACGTAAGTGTATAACTAGCTGCAATCCACTTGTGATGACAAGCCTTTACATTCCATTTCATCATTTTTAGTTACCGAATCACTAACTGAGAGCCTACCAAAACTCAGTTCTTTTTCAATTTTGCTTTGTGATATTTAATGGAAATGACAATTTCAGCTGCATAATGATGATATTTAGCTCCAAAAAGAAACATCATTAGAATACAATACGATGCAACACATGGTTATGAATTATCATTTATTTACTGATACAACACTGTAAATCATGGTGGTAAATATCTATTTTAAGTATGATAAATTTTTGATTAGCGTGCTAAGCGACATGAAGCTTGGGAAGATCATGTAGAAATTCCAGAGACTATTATTGTCAAACTTAAACTCTGCCGGTGTTGTAGTCAAAAAGAAAGATGTACGGGTTATAAAACAAGAGATATTCAACAAAACAACTATGAGGCTACTCACTTAACATACAGACTTCTGGTCACTGCAAAAGCACACATATATATAAGTTATGAGACTGAGACGTACAGTTATGAAACCTTTGTTATTACACGGAGAAGTCTTTTAGATTCGTAGAAAGCCCAGATCAATCAAAAGAAGAATAAATAGCAGCTTTGGTGACTTAGATATCCAGTGAGGTAATACAGAAGTTTTATGTGCCACAATAATTCATCAGTTAATTCGAAAGGTGTTTTAATCTTTGATTATTACTCCATTAACCAATCTGAATTTGCGATATTCTAATTCCCTGCATTACTACCTGATATCAACGGTAATTCCCGTTTCTTCTTTCCTGAATTCTAGGATGGTGAAACACCTCTTCATGTTGCTGCAAAATCGGGATTGACTTTAATTGTTGATTATATAGTCGGTTTGGAATTAAATCTGCTCTCTTTCGTTGATAAGGTAAAGTTAACCTATTACTTTGTTCCTTTGTGTTCTTCTCTGCATATAGTGCAATGAAATAAATATCAGTAGATTCTGTTTTATAATATATTGAAACAAAATGTTTGTGAAGAATAAAATGATACTGTTTTATTCAATAAACTTTCATTGTAGAAACTAAACTACGGTTAGGTGAAGTTTGTAGGAACAAGGAATACGTTGTAGAGACTGAAGGTGTTAAAGTAGAAAAAAAATCTAAAATTCAATTATATCAGTGGAACAGTGGCAATCTACTGCACTCAGAGGAAATAATAGAATCCGGATTTCGATAGCGTAATTAGAAGAGGAAGTTTATGTCAACAATGTGATGTATTTGCGCAATTCATTTCGAACAGTCTGATCACACATTCACTTGTCAAGTGAATATATATTAAACTGAGGACTGGGGGGGGGGGAGACAAATACAACAATTAACACAATAAGGGATCAAAGTTAAGAAAGATGAGAACAAACAGGAAGTGATATAGTTGATCCTAGTCTTGGTAAGAAAACAAAGTTTACCAAGATGGGTGTAGTGTAAGAACAAACTGTTTTTGTACACATAAAGGTGGTTTAAATTTGTGTATGGCTATGGCTTCCACAAATTTCAGAATACGTCCCTGACTGTTTGTATATAAAACTTTAAAAGCTGTTTGGACATTAACTTTGTGACCTGTTTCTATGATATGTTTGGCTATAGATGAAGAGGGCTGTCTCCCATCAGCGTTTATCAGTTTCACACTCCATTTGTTTATGTATGGTAGGACGATGCGTTTGTTGATTTCTGTCGATGACTTTGTGGTTGATGATGTGTGGGATAGGCATCTTGTGATAAAGTTTCGTGGGTAGTCGTTCTTCTTTAGGGTGGACATCAAGTAATTTCCTTGGTTTCTGCATGAAGTTGTTGTGCTGCAGTGTGTTCTCGCTCTTCTAATTACAGTCTGTATGCAACTGATTTTGTGTGTCGTTGGGTTGTTACTATTGTAGTTGAGGATTTGGTCATTGTGTGTTATAGCTTCCTGTACACTTTGGTTTCCAGCTTTCCGGCATTTGTCCTGCTGACTGAAACATCCAGGAATGGTAGTTGGTTGTTTGACTCTTTCTCCATTGTGAATTTGATGTCATTGAAAACGTTGTTGATCAAACTGTGGTTGTTTTCTATATCATCTTTTGATGATGACAAAAGTGTCGTCCACACAGCAAATCCAAATTTTTTGTTTAGTTATAGGTAGAATGATGAATTCCAGTCTCTGCTTCACTGCTTCTGCAATTAGTCCGGCTATTGGTGACCCCATTGGAGTTCGTTTCATCTGTTTGTATATCTTGTCGTTGAATTGGATGTATGTTGTCAGGCAAAAGTTAGTTAGTCACATTAGACTTGAACATTTATTTTTTTGTGCCTTTTGAAAGACTTGTGTCTTTAATGAGCAGGAGGGACATAGTTTCTTTGGTCGACTGGGGTTCGATGGATGTATACAGTGTCTTGACATGGAAGGATACCATTGATTCGTCGTTTTCTGTGTTAATGCTTTTGATCTTTTCTAAGAATTCTGTTGGTGATTTCATTGAATGTCCACATGATTGGACTAGGTATTTCATTTTTCTCGACGGTTCTCTTGATATGTTGTATGTTGGAGTTGCCGCCTACGCTCGTTGCTTAAGATCAGATGGCCAGAAAGAATCAGCAACAAGGAACTCACTTTCGCAACTAACCAATCAATAACCCATCACCCAAAAAATATGCAGAAGAAAGTGGAGATGGATTACATTGGGTGTGCATTGAGAAGGGAGACGGTTAGTGGACATCACGCGCCAGGCAAAACCAGTCCAAACCAGGCCGTTGAGTGGAATCCAAATGGGAAACGAAGAGTTCGGCATCTGAAATGAGGGTGACATGAAGCAGATGGTGTGAGGAAGAAATGAAAGCTTGTGAGCAGTGTTGGCACCAGGTTAAAAAGACTACAGAGAAGAGAATGAAATGGGAACGTACTACTGAAGCCGTATGTTTCACTAGGAACCCAAAGGACAAATTATAATAATACTAATTAGCGTCTATTTTCTTTCCTAGTTTAAGCATTTCCTTCGGCTATGCGGACAGTTTGAAAGTTATCTGGAATTGAAATTTCTGCATTAACAGGAAACTTGCTTTGTGACTATCCTGTTTAAGTTTCAGCATTTTTTTGATCAGGAAGTACTTACCTGAAACCAAAAGTTGGAATATCTCATAGAGACAAAAAATGGGTTTTAGAAAAGCATTATTGGTGAGCATCAGCACCAAAAATTTACTAACTTTGACCAATAATTTTTACTGGCGATGCTGATAGTAGGTAAATCTGCAGTCTTAGCCAAGATGTACCTCAATAAATAGATTTCGGTCAGCCGAACTCTTTGTAACACCTGAAAATATCTCAACTAACAGAAGTAACAATCTAATATGAAGATCACTCAGGTATGACCGAGGAAAATGAAGATTCTTGTGAATTGTTTGCTAACAACTGACTTCCTCAGTGGTATGCTTATTGAATTAGTCATATGATAACATTTAAACTGTCCATCAAGTTAATTTTCAATTTGATTTAACCGACACGTTACTAACTTTAACATTTGGTGCATAGAGGTGAAATAAGTCAGCTGATGAAGCTTTAAACCTTTTTCCATTCCTATGACTGGAACATGTGTTGAACACGCCTAGTCACCATCTACCCGTTCCGCAACTTAAACTGAATTAGGTTCAGGCCACAAAACGTTTACTGGTGGCAAGACTGAAACATGGCATCAATTCACTAAATCTCTGACTTTTAATCCCAGTTTAACAAGGAAACCAAGACTTTCTATTTGGAGTCCAAGTGACAATCGAAAGCAGTGATTGAAATTTGTGGGTGGTACTACTCAGAATCGATTTCAATAGTTCATCTACACTCACACATTATCTTCCCCTGAATTATCTTGTCGAATTTCACTGTTGTTTTTACTCCCTTCCTCTCTTCTTTTACGCCTTTCTATTATTGCTGATTACTTTCTTCCTTATTTTGTTTTCTTGCACCTTGACACCCTCTGATATGAGGTGTACCACCTCAAACCGTTACAAAATAATACTACATCCTATTCGGCTGTTTATTAACAATGATTCGGGTCCCTTTTTCCGTAAATTGGCACTTAATCTCATAGTGATCTCTGGTTTCAGATACTGATCTCCCCTAGAAATCATCTGACATAAAGCTGACTTCAATTTTAGTTCATTATTTTCATTTTTCAAAAAAAACTATACCACAGTAGATGAAAAGCCAAGAAATAGAATGGTTTAATTCCATATTGCTTTCTTTTGTTGAGAAAAAATTTTGAATCCACTCAAAGTTCTTGAAACATTGACATCTTGACAAAAATGAAATAGTCTTCAATAAAAATCGAAAAAGAGAATCAGAGTGTGGACCAAGATTAAAGTTGTGGTTGCAATGCAGTTATTGAAAGGCTTCATTTCAGTTTGGCTGAAATCACATATTGTATGTAATCAAACAATCCCATGACCTCAAGATTTGAGCTGATACCTTTAAAAAATTCGTTTGTACCAAGAGACTCATCAATTTAAAAAGCTGTTAACAGTGAGATTGATAGTCTGCACTTATTTTTCAACCTAATGATAAATAAAGTCAGTCATCATGGTTTTAAAAACTCTGACAGTAGGCCAATACAATGAACTTTTCATGGGTGAGAGCAGATTTCCTACGGTCAGTTTAACTACCATGAAATCAGCAGATAATAATTTCTTCTAAAAGATATGGAATTGTGATAAGGTTTTGAAATATTAGGACATATCTATTCATTATTCATACTTCTTGGAAGTACAGTTTAACCTTCTGGATTTTTTTTAGAAAAATTACGTTCAAAATAGCTAAAGCCTAACTTACTAGTTACAATGAAATCAGTTATAAAATCACTCAAAAAAACGAATGGCTCCTGCGCAAGATAAGATAGCAATATAAGTAATTATTATTTTGTAACAATTTGGTGAATACTTCGAAAGTACTTCCATGTGATCGTCAATTTACTAATTACAATATATAGTCCATCTTCCCGGAACAGTTGCTGAGTCAGTACCTATACCAGATGTATGGAAAATCCTATTACTTAAGGCAAAAAGAAGAGAAAAGTTAAGCGGTATGATAGAATTGTGGAGTTATCCAGTTATGATTTCAGACAATTGAAATTTCTCATTTCATACACTTGAAGTCAAATATGAAAGTAGAACTTTCTTTTCAATAACGTTTGTCAGGTTCTACAACAGAAAAATCAATTTCGTTAACATATTAAAAGTCAAAATTTTGCTACGAATGCATCTTAGAATGACTATGGTATTATAACTAAGATTAGATTGTTTAAGTTTGTAGATGATAGTGTAATGCATATTTGTGTGTCAGTTGTGGTAATAAGTTGGGTGTAAACTTTGTCAATCGATTGGTAATCAGACGTATGGGGAAGGAAAATTAATAATAAAGTTCAGGGTTGCATTGTGTCGCTGGGGGGATTATTACAAAAAATCGCATGAGCTTTCCTGAAGGTAGAAATGGAGTGAATATATCATCGAAAGACGGTTAATATGTGAAACGCCTAAGTTAGTAAGAGTAGTAATAATGTGAAAAGAATTTTAACAGAAATTTTAAAGGTTTATTGTAATAAGACAGAAAAGAAGCCTGCCTAAAAATAGTAGCAATAATAATAATAGTTTCGCTTTAGAAAAAAGAAGAAAAGAAAGCGAGAAGGAAAGCAAAAGCGAAAGAAGGATTAAGAAGTAAGCGAAAAGGTTGAAATCAATCCAGTAACTAACACTGTTTCACTGTGTAATAGATGTAATAAGTCAAATACAGTCGCATTTTATTTAAAGCTATAATCTAGATGTGTCATAAGCAGTGTGAAGAAGATGTTATTTTTCTTTTCTACTTGGTATTAACTAACAGACTTCAAGTCTATTCTGAAATGCCTCTATC